TGGAGTCAATTATATGCAAGTATAAATGTCAAAATGAATCCCAGTATTACACTTTTTAATAAAAACATTAAAAAGAAAAATACCCTTAATCCTTGGGGAATAGCTAATTCCTTGCGGACCTGAAATATTTCCAACATCCAGTGTACTCTTCAAAAACAAAAATCTGAAATAATCAGGTGTGGTGGTGAACACCTGAATTCCGCACAGGAGGCTGAGGCAGGAGGGTTGAGTTGAAAGCCAGCCTCAGCAAAGGTGAGGTGCTAACCAACTCAGTGAGGCTCTGTCTCTAAATAAAATACAAAATAGAGCTGGGAATATGGCTCAGTGGTTTAGTGCCCCTGAGTCAATCCCTGGTACCCCCAACAAAAACAAACACCCCCCGCCCCCAAACCAAAACAAAACAAAAAACCTGAAAGGTGTGGGGGGGGGGGGGGGGAGGAAAGGAGCTTGGTATAAAGTTTCAATATAGTAGGTTTGTAAGCATTTTAGTGGAAAGAATGATCATGTGGACAAACACATAAGAAAATGGGAAATTGTCAGACCAAAGAGAAGCTAGGTTAAAGAACTCTGATGATGTGATTTTTAGTTCAGGTCTGATGTTACTTTGATAAACTGTGTAATATTTTCCAAAGCATGTGAAATGCCATTACTAGATTCCCCGTGGCATATACGAATCCATTTAATAATGACCATGTTCTATCATAACACGAACAGCTATGGTTTTGCTATAATCAATTAGCTCAGGAGTGGCCTAGTTACTTATTTTCAGGGAACAAGGTCTCAGAAGTTAAAAGATATAGCAATCCTTGCTGCCCTCTCAAAGCCCTAATTAACAAATCTTATGCTTTCCATAACAAAATCCGTTTGTAAAAGCAAAGTAAAAGGATATACAAATCCAGTTCTTCAAATTATATAATAATACTGAGTCACTGTTAAAAGGTTCTATTTATCAATATCTAAACTGAACAACAGGCCTTTAGAATTAAATTTCACATGCCAAAAAGAATTTCTCGATGACTTTTTCTTTGGGGGGGTACCAGGGACTGAACTCAGGGTCACTTGACCACTAAGCCACATATCTACCCCTATTTTGTATTTGTCTCATTGAGTTGCTTAATGCCTCAGTTTTGCTGAGGCTGGCTTTAAACTAGTGATCCTCCTGTCTCAGCCTCCCACGCCAACTGGGATTACAGGTGTATGCCACTGTGCCCAGCTTGATGACTTCTTTGTATAATTTCTGGCATCAATATTTTTCCAATGAACAAACATTAATGTGTGTAATAGGTGAATGGCTAATTGCTATAATATATGAAGTGTTTCAATAAATCAGTTAAGGGAACAACCCAATAAAAAATGTGCACATTAGTACACACCTGTAATCACAGCTTCTATGGAAGCTGAGATAGGAGGAATGCCAAGTTTGAGGCCAGTCTTGGCAACTTAGTAAGATGACATCTCAAAAAAAAAAAAAGATAAGAATGTAGATGAATGGTAGAATAACCCTGGGTTCAATCCCCAGTATTGCAAAAACAAAGGATAAAGGACTTTGGGAGAAAAATACAAACAACATCTAAACAATAGAAGTTGCTCAATTTTGTAAGCAACCAGGGAAAAGGTGAGAGATCAAGATTTTTCACCAAGTGTCATAATAAAAACAATGGTAAAAGTAAAAAAGTACTTGGAGGGGCACTCTGGCTTTAGTCATTTAACATTTTCAATATGTAGATCCTCTGCTCAATAACTTGTCTTTCAACAATTGTACTTTAATGTAGAAAACTGTGTAGTATGGTGTTTAAGAGGGGCCTCAAGAAGGTAATATTTGAACACAGACAAATGAGGGATAATGTCAGGTACAATATCTAGAAAGAATGTTTTAAGGGAACAGCCAAAAGTGGGTGTTAAAAGGCAACAGGAAGAGCAGTCAAATCTGGAACCCGAAGTGGCAAGGGCACAAATCATGTAGATGATTTGAGCATCATAGGCCACTGTAAAGAAAAAGGACTAATTAGACTTTTGATTTTTCTAAATATTAGAATTTCCATTAAATCATAAGCCTTAAAGTGTCTATTGTAACTCCCAGCAAATTTAAACATTCACCGGTCTCCTGAGTAGTCTATATGTATGTTAATTTTGGGTTTAGAAACCCTCTGAAACTTTCACGGGATCCTTCCAGAGTTCTAGAACATTCCCCATCACCCACAGAAAAGCAATCACCCAAATGACTAAGTATCACTGGAAACAAAACAAACAAAAAAGTCCTAAAATGACAGTATAATGGAGAGTAAGAAACAACTGAGATGTTTTAATGAGTTCAGTCTTCCCTGGAAGAGGCTGCAAATAAAGGCTGGATGGTGAGGAACCCAGGAGAGCTAGCTGCTGTGCAGAGTAACACATTCTGCTTCCACAATATAATAAAACAAAGAAAAGCAAAGCAATAAACAGCGTCTAATCATCTTTGACATCTATCCCTCCATCACCATTCCCTCATATCATCACTTGTGAAGTTCATCACTGATCATAACGTTCTATATTAATATTTTTCCTTGACCATTTTGACTTCTATTTCTAATCTTTTTTCTCTACTCCTTATTTCTAGCTTAATGCCCCCCAAGGATGACTCTTGATACTTTCAGTCAAAAAACTTGATACTACATTGCCTTTCAACTTAACTTTAAATTTTCTCCCTAGCCTCTCAAGCCTAAGCCTAGACTAACCTCCCAGACATTTCTCCTAAACCTTCCTTATATGGTATCAGGTAACTAAACAGATAAATTTGAAATTCAGTCTTTTTTTCCCCCTAACCACCCCCCCCCCTTAAAAATCATAGATGTACATAACATCTTTATTTTTGTCTATTTACTATTTTTTAATGTGGTGCTAAGTATCGAATTCAGTGTCTCAAACATGGTAGGTAAGTGCTCTACCACTGAGCCACAACCCCAGCACAAAATTCTTAAGGCCCAATCCAACTATTACTCCTTTCTAAAATTTCCCGGATTTCTTGGAGGCTATTTGGTATGTTGAAAAATACAATGGGCTGTGAAGTCAGACTAGGGTTTGACTAACTTAGCTAGCCTGAATTTCGACTTGTCTATAAAAGTGACCTTTGCTCCCTTCAGACACTTATAAATAAGAAAATGTATAAAAAGCAAGAGACTTCCTTTCTCCCATATGTATATTTTATATAATTTTTAAGGACTTAGCAGTCTCCCTAATCTGCAGTCAATAAATGATATCTTTATTGTTTAGTTGTAGATGGAAAATACCTAAATCTTTATGTGGTGCTTAGGCTTGAATCCAGTGCCTCACACATGCTAGGTGAGTGCTCTACCACTGAGCCACAGCCCCATAATATCTACTATCTTAAAAATCAAGAAATATTATCTAGAAACATAAAAGAGTGAAGAATTAAAGTAACTGCCTTTCAGAATGGGAAACCAGCTAAGGTGAGAATGGTGAATGCATAGTCTCATGCATTATTGAAATCTTTGATTTTTAAGACAATAATCTTGACTTTTAAAATTATATGTCTGACAAAAAAATATTACCAGAAGTAAGCAAAGATGTACCAACAAAATAATTAGGCAATGGATCAAGGGTAGAGCATGTGCTTAGTATATGGAACAAGGCCCCTAGGATCAATCCCCAGTCCAATAAAGAAGAAATATAGAGACCTAAATTAGGCATCACTGGGACATTTGAGTCTAACCCACTGAACTTATACACAGAAGAGAACATAGATCTCCGAGTAAGATTCTATAGGAATAACATACACTATACTGAACTGTGCCTTTGGCTTTGTGTATACCAGTAAACTGGGCACAATGGTGCACACCTGTTAATTCCAACAACTTAGGAGGCTAAGGCAGGAAGATCAAAAGTTTGAGGCGAGACTGGGCAACGTTGTGAGACTCTTAAAATAAATTAAAAAAAAAAAGGCTGTAGCTGTGGCAGAGAACTTAAAACATGGGGTTCAAATGAATGCCCCAAACCACAAACAAGCAAAATGAAAACCAGAAAAAAAGGAAAAAAGAAATACAAAAAAATGGTAATTTTGAATATTCCAAAACTTACTCTATCTACAATAAAAAAACAAAATGAATGAAAAACATAGAAAAGAATCTTCTTCCTTTTTCCCTGCTTTTTTTATAGTGCTGGGGATTGAACCTAGAGAAATTTTTAGCTCTTTTTAATGGCAAAACAACAATAACAACCAGGAAGTATATGACCCAACAACCCCACTTCTGGGTATATGTATAAGAGAATCAAAAACAGGGCCATAAACATATATTTGTGCATCCATGTTCACTGCAGTATTATTCACAATACTGAAATTCAGTAGAAGCAGCCCACAAAACCCTTGAGAGAGGAACAGATATGCAAATTGTAGCACATGGAATGGAGTATTATTCAGCCTTCAAAAAAAAGAAATTCGGATACATACTACAACATGGATGAACCTCAAGGATATTATGCTAAGTGAAAAGCCAATCACAAAAGGACAAATGATGTACAAATTCACTTATATGAGGTACCTAGATTATCTAACTTATCTTCTTAAAATTAAAAGATTTCAATGATGCCTGAGACTACTGTACCACCATTATCACATTAGCTAATTCTCTGTTCCCAAAGGCAACTGTTTTAATTATTCACTCATCCTTTCTGTTCAGAGACAGAAAGTATAAGATTACCAGAGCTGGGAGAAATGGAAAGCAGGGAATAGCTGTTTAATGTGTTATCAGTTCTGGAAGACGAATAAGTTCTGGAGATTAGCTGTACAACAATGTGAGCACACAACACTATCTGTACCAAACACCTAAACATGGTTAAGACAGTAAATTTTATGACATATTTTAAATTAAAAAAACAAAACCAAAAATAACCACAAGGTTACAGAACTACACCATATTATAAAAATACTATAACATTTTCACTGAAAACTAAAAAAGCACACAACAAGTGTATTAAGTGATAGTTCCCCATTCAGTAGTACCTACCTGTACATTTATACAACATGCCTGTCATAGTTCCAGCTGCTACTGTGTTGAGGTCATCTTCTGCACCTCTTGTTTTCTCAATGATAACACCAAATGCACTATAAAGCAGAGCTAAAGGAAAAATAGAAGTGATGTTATAAAAGTGTGACTAAAAGTCAGTATGGCAATAATATTTAGATAAGTTTATCTGAAGATACACAGAATAATCAATGGAACGGTTTCTAATAGCAAAAGCCTGGCAACAAATAAAATGCATTTGTACCATCTAAACTGATACAGGAAGAAACTTTCCATACAATGAAATACTACAGTCACTTGAAACAAAAACCATTAATAATCAAAGCAGGCACATATGCACACTAGTACATGACTCTGATTGGCTATGCAAAAAATAATCTATGTAAGTTTTCAGAAGAGTAACTATTTCTATATACTACTCCAGGAAAGCCCAAAAAGTATATTTTAAATTTTTCATTTATATGTTACCCACATATACCCAGTATATGTACTTTGGATTAAGTCTGTTATAATTAGCCAGAAGATCTAAGAAATAACTATATCCCCAATTAATAAGAGAATTACAACTCTGGACAGGGAACAGCTGGAATGTAGCCTTTGAAATGCCTCTTTAAAAACCCTCCATTCCCCCTGATGGGCAGAATCATAGCTTCTAGGACAGGATCCCCCCATGTTTGTCTTTTGCTAGCGAAGCAGTAAAACTTTTCCCTTTTTCTCATATTTTGTGTGTGTATAAAATTAAAAAGAAATATAAAGTTTGATTCTTGTACATGTAAAAAACTATAACATTGGCACCATTTGGTTTTACATGATTTTCCCCCAAACAACCCTCAACCTCTGCTACTTTTAGATTCCTATCAGACATGAATGCATTAACGACTTTTCTTACCCTTTCACAAAATCATAGCTATAACTGACCCTTCAACATTATACCAAACTTAAGACTTATAACTCCTTTGTTATGGTATTTCATACTTTTATTAACGTTCATCTATCTGTTCAACTTATATAACTACAAGTGAACATGAGTAGAACATTATGATTGATCATATTACAAAAAGAATACAGAGTGACAAACCCAGTGACCACTTTGCTTAGGCCCGAGAGGTTTCTTGCAATGTGGGATGTATAGTGCTAAAACTGAGAAAGTCTGAAGCAAAAGGGACAGTAACTACCCTGGGTATATAAGCAATTAAAAATTAACAAGAGATCTGGGCATGGTGGCACTTGCCTGTAATCCCAGCCGTTTGGGAGGCTGAGGCAGGAGAATTACATGTTCAAAGCCAGCCTCAGCAACTTAGAGAGGCCCTAAGCAACTAAGTGAGACCCTGTCTCAAAATAAAACGTAAAAAGAGTTGGAGATATGGCTCAGTCGTTAAGCACTGCTGGGTTTAACCCCCAGTACAGAGGAATTAACAAAGGAGGTGAGGAATTAACAAAAGAGGGTGACTGTGTGCACACACATGTTGGGCACGGAGACACAACGGGGACAGGAGAAATGTAGGCATGAGCAGCATATGGAAGTAGCTATTTATTAGAATCAAAATGTGAATCTGGCTTTAAGGTGTTCAAACGCACTGCTTCTAAAGCCCACAACAAGGCTGGGATCTTAGTATATTATAAGAGGATTTTTCTACCTTTTCAATGAGTTTTCTACATTTTTCCTTGTTTAATCTGCCACAAGTAAAAGATTTCCAGACATTCAGTTGAGCTCATAAATTATGAAAACCTTGCGTTAGGGCATATGTGCCACAGGCTGGTCTATTTTAAGTCATCAATAATCAAAAGAGCCTGTCATTTATAAATAACACGTGATGAAAGTATTTGGTTCTGACTAAGCACTACTAAATTACCTCTTACCTAGAACTGCCAATGTTTTTGTTATCTACAAAGAAACTATTATAACTCTGGAATTAGGTCCTTGAAATCTGCTGAGCAGGTTATTAGGAAAAAAGTAATAGCACTGGACTAATCCATCATGTCTCCACTTCAGAACCTTGAACCTTTCCCAACATACATAGCCCTTTGCCTCAGACCTAAATCACCTGAATTTTGTTTAGTTAAAATTTGACCTTATTTGGTGTCCTGCATGGACAAGAGAAGGCAGTGTTTAAAATATTTTAAAACGTTTAGAAACAGTATACAGAACAGAAATAGCACCTACTATTTTATTAAATAATTCAGGGTCTTTCTTCTAATGATATCCTACTCACCAAAGTGGATTTAAACATAATTGTTTCAAATCCTTGAATCAGAATTTTGGTTGATCAAATTGTTCATACTTATATATTCTTTCTTCGCATTATAATATGATTTATTATCAAATGAGATTTCTACTTACCCAGAGAACCTAGAGTATTAGCCCAAAGTGCACCTTGCCTAGTCACCATATTCAAAATCCTACCAGGGAAGAAAAAATCTGTATTAAGAATCCATAGTTCTGTAGTAACCTAAAAAAAACATAATAATAGCTTTTTAAAATGCCTAAAGTCAAGCCTCAACATTTTCTTAATTTTGAGATACATTTTAATGCCTCCTGACATTTCAATAAAGATGGTTTTTATGCTATATAAAATAAGGGTTAGGTTAAAATTCTCAACATTTTGGTTAAAATTCCCATATTAAATATAAAAAAATTATTAAACATGTATAAAAAAACTTTGAATAACAACTTGGAATATACTCTATATAACGTATTTTATAAAGAAACATTATAGATGAATGTGAAAATATCATTTTTACTATGACACAATGGCTTTTCTTTCTGGGAGGGGGGGTATATTAACTATACGATATGAAGTAGAACTGAACATTAACAACCATCTAACTAGAATACATGGAGGAAGTACCGTGTCTGCTCCCTAACTTGAACTAAGCAGCCAAAGTGAATGCTTAGCACACTCTCAAGGAAGCAAAGTCCTGCCTTGTACCAGTGCCACATGCTACCAGAACAGTGACATAGGCAACTGGATGAAGAAGACAAGATATTCCTCTCCCAGCAGTGTAACACCATCACAGGAATGGTTGTGTCCGGATAGCTGACTACTGCTGGAAACAATGGAAATATAATAACAAAGAGTAAAAGAACTCATTAATTAACGTTCTATAGTATAAAAATTTGTATTACTTCTAACAATGTTTAAAAACATTAATATCCTCACAAACAAAAGTATTTCTAATTAAATTATTTACTAATGTTTTAAGTTCAATATTTTAAAGTCTGTAATTAGCTTTAAAAATATTAATTTTCATTTTTGTATTGCTGGAGGTACTGCAAATTGGTAAAATTCTTTGGGATGCCTATTAAGCATAACCATCCTCAGCAACCATCAGCCACAGTTATTGTGTCCCATAAGGCAGAAAAGTAGAGGAAGTATACTCAAGATCACAAAACAGTAAACAATAAAAACCACATATATCTGTTTGATCCTAATCCTATCTTCTTTTCATTATTAAATGCTGCCTCTATGTAGAAGAATGATTATAAAACTACTACTCTTTTAAAAAATAAAGTCTTGGGGCTGGGTTGTAGCTAAGCGACACAGCGCTCGTCTGGCATGTGAGAGGCCCTGGGTTCGATCCTCAGCACCACATAAAAACAAATAAATAAAATAAAGATGTAAATAAATAAATAAAGTCTCTTCAAAGAGACTTTTCACTTCCAAATTCATATTTAACATAACGTGAGGAATTTGTTTCAAAACAATACAGGAGAGGAGATGGGACATAATAAGCTGTGGCTGATGGTTGCTAGGATGAATTATGCTTCATAAGTATTCATCATGCTATTTTGTTTACTTTGGTATTAATTTAAAATTCCTCATATACAAGAAGTAAAAAAAATTACTGGAGCAACGGACAAATGTTACAAAAATAAACATAAAATACTGAAGGAGGATGGTAATTTAAGTACAGTGATTCACATAGTAATAAGAATATTAAAAGCTTCTAATTCAGTAAATCTGCTGCCATCTGCTGGCTGAATAATACATATGGAAGATGGAGTTCAAAGTGTCCTAAAAAAAACCATGAGCCAAAGAATACATATTTGTGATTCTACTTATATCAAGAATAAAAACATGCCAAACAGAACAACTTACTATTTAAGCAATATTGATAGAGACTGGTTATGTTTACTTCTTAAGCACAGTGAAGACATATGTATACTTTCTGGACCTTAAATGTACCTTCCCTTCTCTGCAAATTAAAATTCCTGAGGAAATCTTAATCTTTTAAATCTACCTCTAGGTTCTAGGAATTACATTTAAAGTTCTTTGGCTCCTCATTTCAGAAATGGAGAGTGAAGACATTAAGAAATTCAGGTAAAATGACAGACTTTGCATTACTCTTTTGAACTGCTTATTTCTTCATTACCAAGTTCTCCAGTTCTGCATGCCCCTGAATAATCCAAAGTTTATTACTAATAATTCAACTATTTGAAAAGCATGTCATATAAGCTTGGAGAATGGAATCCACATAGCTGCAAAGTTAGGCTGGTGCAGCACCAGCTGACTGAGGGACACTAACTCAAAAATCACTCCTTTTAAAAGCTTACATTCAATAATTGGATTCCTTGGTTCCTTCTATTTTGAGTAAGAAAAAAAAAAAACAGGAAAAAACAAAGGAAAGTATATCAATGTTCTAAACATTTGCAATCTCAGATTTGTGCCCATTACACTACGAGAGCAGAGGTTAATATTCAAGGATCATTGTATCAGATGATTACATGAGACTTACTGTACATTTCTTGGTTTGGACCAGGCCATGTTCTGGGTTTCCTTCAATCCTAGCCGAAGACCATTCACTGCTCCAAATGCAGCTCCTGGTAAATCATAATAATTCATCCAAATATAGCTTTGTATTAAAAAGCAACAACAACCATACTTCTGAGTAATTTTCATTTATACTTAATAGAAAAGAAGGATAAATATAAATACCAAAAAAAAATTGAAAATATAAAAAAAACCCCTTAAAACCAGTATTCTAATTCCTTTTCATTTTAAGCACCATCAACTTTTTTTTAAAAGAACAATTTATTTTAAATAAACCAATTACATATTTACATAAATAATTTATTTAGTAAAAATCATTCTTCATTCCTGATAATTCTTCTTAAGGTAGACATAGAATTAGCTAGTTTGGTTGAAATATTTTCCACCAGATACCTAAAATGAATGCATTTCATTTATTTCAAGGCTAGTTGCCCTGTCAGTATATATATTATCCATCTGAGTTCTGTTGATTCTATAAGAACCCAAAGCTCTTTTGTTTCATTGCTGACCCTTGTTCAAGACAACAGCATCCTCAGCACTTTGGAAACAGTTATGTGATGGAAGTAATGTAGGATTTCAAAAGCCAGGGGATTGAAAAGTTTGATGTGCCATTTAAGATCTACATGATCAAGAGTGATTACTATTATTTAAATACCCCATGATTCACTTTCCTCATCATCAAAGTGAAAGCAGTAATTCATGTCAGCTAAGGCTGATGATCGTTTATGTAATAGTGATTTCCATGGTGCTTAATAAGCTAGAAAATAAGTATTTATCAACAAAACAAAAACAGAACCCAATTATTTCCTAAATTCCCTTGTGAATGTACTATAGAGCTGACTCTGGCTATTGACCAAAAATAAAATAAAGAACCTGGGTTGGACACCATGATCAGTTGGAAGAAGCTAACATAACTAGAGAAATGCTGCAATAATTCTAAGGTAGCACCATCAACTTCTTAAACTGAGGACACCAAAGGAAAAAAATATATCATTACACCCACCTGTCATACAACATCCTCCAATGGTAAGGAAGGCTAGTTCAAATCTGCCCCGTGTTTTATTAGCTCCAGTTGGTAAAATAAACTCATCCGTTTCCTAATGGATTAATAAAGAAAACCAAGTTGAGCATCACTCAAGACAGCACCTGAAAACTACTTTTAACTTTTCAAAGCAGTTTTTCTAGAAAGTAAAACATTGAATTAATGCAAACTCAACTGTCTTTTTATGGGGTGGAGGGTACTGGGGATTGGACTCCCAGCCCTATTTTGTATTTTATTTAGAGATAGGGTCTCACTGAGTTGTTTAGTGCCTCGCTTTTGCTGAGACTGGTTTTGGTTTTGAACTCGCAATTCTGCCTTGGCCTCTTGAGTTGCTGGGATTACAGGCATGTGCCACCATGTGTGGAAACCTCAACTATCTTATTTAAACAAAAATAAAATTGTCTGCAGCAATAGCAATACCTAAATCAAAGTGAAAGGAAATACATAATACATTTTGTTCTTAGGAGGGATTCTCATTTAGCACTTGTTTCCTTCAAAATGTAAATCAGATAGATAATATGTAATCTGCCTTAATGACAAATTTGAGGTGACAGAGTGTAGAAAGAACAGCTTTAAAGAAAAGAACACTGAAAGCTATAAGAATTAACAGATGACAGACTGTCAAGTCTGAAGGAAAAAAATAATTTTTGATTTTGTAGCAACTAAACCTTGAATACCATCTTACACATGTAAAATCAAATGATCCTCAAAAAATGAGCAAGAACTATTAAAGTACAATCATCTGTATCAGTCATCAGTCATACAAGGGCAAATTATACCCTTAATAGTATTTTTTTTCAGCTGGGGATTGAACCCAGGGCTTCATGCAAACTAGGCAAGCACACTACCACTGAATAATACCCTGACCGCATATATTCCTTTAATAACCTTAGGAAGTTATAGACCCTATTTGTAGTAAATGCATAATTAACATGAGTCCCTGGAAGATGACCCAAAATCCTGGGTTGAGAAATGCTACTGAGAGGGGCTGGGCATGTGGCTCAAGTGGTAGCGTGTTCGCCTGGCATGCATGTGGCCCAGGTTTGATCCTCAGCACCACATACAAAGATGTTGTGTCTGCCGAAAACTGAAAAATATTAAAAAATTCTCTCAAAAAAAAAAAAAAAAAGAGAGAGAAATGCTACTGAGAGCAAAAAATGATGATCAATTTAAGAGTCAATATACAGTTAGAAAAAACAGTTTCATTTAAGGAAAGCTTTCCATGAAAAAATAGCTTTGGCAAATTCCCTGATGGATAGCACACAGAGTGTGCCACATTCAACATACTAAAAACCACTAAATATCAACATTTATCCCACTCCTTGTAGCAAATACTGAACTTTGGTAAATGCATTACTAATTAGGAAAACTAGCTCTGCACTGTGTTTTTAATTTCTGGCTTGTGCATACAAAATACTCACCAAACACTGCAAGTAAACAAGCACATGTATTCTCATCACACAAAATGGTCAGTTGGGGAATAATAAGCAAATCTTGAGAAGATTCCATGTGATGATATACTGTACATAGTTTTTCAAATTTTGGATGCTTCTTGACATTTAAATTATAGTGATTTTAAATACGGTTATGCCGAACCTTATCAAGCAAGCTCAAGGGCATGTCAGCACAAGCTCACTCAAGGCTTGGAAGCAAATGTACATCAATTCATACACAAAACTGACAGTAAAGTATATTAATACAATGAATACAGGAGAAGATACGTTGAAAAGTTCTTGTTAAACCTGTACTGGTGACACTCTAGTTGGACACTAGTGTCACTAAAATACCATAAGTTTGTTTGTCAATACAGAAGACAAATGAATCTAAGAACAGATATCAATGAACCTGATGAAATAGTCAGAAGGCTGAGATTATGTGTCATCTTTATAATTTCATGTGAATACTACTATGGACACTGGAAATTATTTAAAGTCTCCTTGTTTTTATACCAGATATTCATATGGGCTAACAGAGAACAAGATTTATTAACATAATTTAGAAAACATTTTAGGGATGATTTAAGAGTAGTGATAATACAAAAGCAATAGCAAGAGAAAGCACAAATAAAAACTGATGCCAAAACTACTATATGGTCAGTTGACAGGCAGTATTTAAGATATATTTAATTTTCTAAAAGTATAGAAAAATATTTTAAAAATGTAATTTTTATTAAGGTATCATCTTTACATTTGTTTTCGATTGTTACATGTAACATGAAGACAAAAAGGTTTAGAAAAACTTTTTCAATTCTGAAGTCCCTCTAGCATCCCCAAATTCCCTATTTTGTTTTTGAATACACATTTTTTTTTTGTCTAACCATACTCACTTAGCAATGTAAGATCAAAATAATATTGCATTTATAGCTAGAGTAGCACTTTAATTCTGAAGTCAACATTTAAGCAAAATACATGTTCTGTGAAATTCTGAGTAAACTGACAAGATGGGAGCCTCTAAAAAATCCACTTATTAAAATTTAATAAATTTAAATGATAAATTTTCTGCAAAAACAATGAAGCTTTAAACTCACAAGGTCCTTATTAAAAAACATTTTTTTTTTAAGGACTAGGGTATAGCTCAGCAGTAGAGCACTTGTTTAGCATGCTCAAAGCCTTGGGTTCAATTCCTAGAATAGGAAAAAAAAAATTAAGTTACTGACATATCACTCACATACTATACTACTCATTTATTTAATGTACAATTCAATAGTTTCATTCCCCACATAGTCCCAATTGCAAGCCATTACTAGTCTACTCTTCATGCCTATATATTTGCCTATTCTGACATTTCATATAAATGGAATCATATATTAAGCGGTCTTTTGTAACTGGTTTTCTTTGATTTAGCAGGCATTTTAAGTTCATCCATGTTGTAGCATGAAACAATAATTCATGTTTTAATTGCCAAATGATATTACATTACATAGATACGCCATACTTTGTCTATTCATTCTCCTGTTAATGGACATTTGGTTTGTTTTTGCTTTTTGGCTACTATGAACATTTATGTACAATTTGTGTGAACATGTTTTCAATTCTCTTGTGTGTATATCTAAGAGTAGAAATGCCAGGTCATAAGATAATTCTATTTTTAACATTTTGAGAAACTGCCAGACTATTTCCAAAGCAGATTTATCATTTTACATCCCCACAAGCAAAGTATGAACGTCCAATTTCTCCACATCCTTACCAGTATTTGTTATTGTCTTTTTCATTATAGCTCCTGGTGGGCCTGAAGTAGTATTTTACTGTGGTTTTGTGACTTCAGTTTCTCTAATTAGTGACACTGAAGTTTCATGTCATTACTTGGCATCTATACACTTTCATGAAGAAATGTCTATTTATAATTAGAATTTTATAATTGGATTGTTGTTTCATTAATGTTTTAAAACATTTTTAAAACTAAACATTCTAACTATAAGTCCATCATCAGGTAAATGATCTGCAAATATTTTCTCCTAGTCTTTGACTACCTTTCCCCTTTCTTTTTCTTATTTTGGTACTAGGGAATGAATCCAGAAGTGCTTTACCATTCAACCACGTTCCCAGCCCCCAACCAGCGTTTTTTTTTTTTTGAGACAGGGTCTCACTAAGTTGTTTAGGGCCTAGCTAAACTGTTTGTTTTGGTTACTATGAACATTTATGTACAATTTGTGTGAACACGTTTTCAAGTTAACACTACATAAAGAACATAATATGTTGTGTTGTTAAGTCTCTAGCCTTGAACTTGTGATCCTCTGCTTCAGACTCCTGAGCTGCTGGGAATACAGGCATGCACTACCATGCCTGGCTCTTTCCCCTTTAAAAAAAAAAGAAAAATTGTTTTCTTTTTTTGGTGGGACTGGGGATTGAACCCAGTGCATACCAAGTTGTTTTTGTTTTTTTTTTTTTTTTTACTATTCTTTTAGTTATCAGTGGACCTTTATTTATTGATACGCGGTGCTGAGAATCGAACCCAGTGCCTCACACATACTAGGCAAGTGCTCTGCCACTGAGCCACAACCCCTCGTTTTGTTTTTGTTTTGTGTTTTTGAGACAAAATCTTGCTAAATTGCTAAGGCAAGTATCAAATCCTCCTATTTCATGTCGCCTAAATTGCTGGGATTATAGGCATGTCACTGGGTCCAGCTTTTTAAAAAAAATCAATTTTGACTAAATTGAATTAACCAACTTTTTATTTATTACTTGTGCTTTTGGTAGCAAATGAACTACTGCATAATCCAATCACAACTATTTATAGCCATGATTTCATTCAAGAGTTTTATATCTTTAGCTCTTACATTTATAAAGTAATTTTACACTTGGAGTGTTTGTTGCTACTGTATGGAAAGCAGAACTGATTTTATGTTAATTTTATATTCTGAGACTTTGCTGAATTCACTTATTAATTGTAACAGTTTTTTTTTTAATATTTATTTTTTACTTGTAGTTGGACACAATACATTTCACTCATTTATTTGTATGTGGTGTTGACGATCGAACCCAGGGTCTCGCACATGGGAGGTGAGCGCTCTACAGCTGAGCCACAACCCCAGCCCTATTTTTTTTTTGTACCTTTATTTGATTTTTAAAAGACAAGATCACATCATTTGCAAAGTGTTTCACTCTTCTTTCAATCTGCCATTTCTTTCTCTTGCCTAACTGCTCTGGCTACAGAATGTTAAACAGTAGTGAAGTCAGTAGAAATTGCTTTTATTACTCCTGATCTTAAAGGGGAAATAGTCCTTCACTATTGTGTAGATGCCATTTATTAGGTTGAAGGAATTCTCTACTATTCTGTGTGTGTGTGTGTGTTAAAATCATGAAAGGGAGATGGATTTAATCAAATGCTCTTTTTGCATCTATTGAGGTAATCATGTGGTTTTGTCTTATATTCTTATTTTTATTGCTTTATTACATATTGATATGTCACAGAACATAAACTGATTTTCAGTACATTAAATTAACCTTGCTTTCCTGAGATATTCAACCACTAGTGTTTAAAGTCTTAACATTTAGCCCAGTATTCTGATACTACAAAGTGAGCTTTAAAAGCAAAATTTACTTTTATCAGGGTGCATTCCTTGTTGGTTTAACTCCCTTTAAAGGGGGTTAAATGGTTTCAGGGAAAGATACAAGCCAAGTTCTTAGGGTTTGTGAGGAAAAAAAAAAAAGAATGGAAACCAGAGACTTAGTATATGGTAGAATTAAGTACCTGTACTAAGTTCATGGATTAATTCAACTTGGAATTAAATAATTGAACTTTTTAAAGTGTAAGATAAAACATCAAACACTAAAATTTTAATCTTACCTGCACAAGATATCGTGGATCCACATTTAAATAAGGAGACAGAGGGTTCATACCAGTTACTAGAGAGAAAACAAGATGTTATTTGCATAAAAATTCCCACAAGTTATTACATATAATAAACTAAGCTTCTAACAGTTCCCTGTCTTGCAATTCTGATTTATAGGCTCCATAAATATTTTATTTACAAGCTCCATGAAATTTTGTTTTTTCTCTTTTCTTCTACCTGTCAGTTTAGGGGCTGACTCATTCTGGAGACCCTCAATCTCAAAAAACAATGTTCATAGCAGCTCAATTCACAATAGCTAAGCTAGGGAATCAACCTAGGTGCCCTTCAACAGATGAATGGATAAAGAAAATGTAGTACACTTACACAATGGAATATTACTCAGCCATAAAGAATAAAATCATGGCATTTGCTGGTAAATGGAATTGGAGGCAAGCTAAGTGAAATAAGCCAGTCCAAAAAACCGAAAGGCCGAATGTTTTCTCTGATATTTGGTTGCTGAATCACAATGTGGGGGTGGGGAAAGTTCACTGGATTGGGGGCGCATACGTGGGGGAAGGAAGAGGGAATGAGAAAGACGGTAGAATGAACTGCACATAACTTTCCTATGTTCATATATGAATACACCACCAGTGTAACTTCACATCATGTACAACCACAAGAATGGGAAGTTATATTCAGAGAAGCATGTAAGTATATATACCTTCGTGTATTATAAAGTATAGCTCACTTTCCAGCTTATTTAGATGGTTTCCTGACTTTTTCCAACTCATATTTACTTCCCGACTCCACGTATTGAGTGTTTGGCCCCAATAGTTACTTTGGAATTTGATTTTTTTAAAAAAAAATTCGCCAAGAAGCTAACTAATTGCTTGCTATTTGCAATACGCTATTTCCAGAAAATCTGGGCTTTTCTCTTAACTCACGACAACATATAGGAATACATATAATAACAGAAAGGGACCTAGATATAAACGGAAGAAAGCATGCATCATCCCTTAAATCCGGGTCAACCACAGGTAGCTTCCCCAGGGATCTACAGTCCCCCAAAACAATGTTCATAGAAGCTCAATTTCACAATAGCTTTGAAAGAGCAGCCGGTCAGACACATTAACCTCGCTACCAGCGCTGATGCTTCCGAATGGCTCACGTTAAGTGCAGACGCCGGAAGCAGTCAGAAATGTTCGCATACTGGGCCCGATACTTACGCGGGACGCCGGCTAAATCCGCGTGCGAGTAACCTGCTCCACCGGCTCCGAAAAAACCCGCCAATCCCCCTGTGGTTTTGTTACCACTTCCCCCGCCGCCTTCCATGGTGTCTCAGGAAACTACCGTCTCGTTCCCGACCCTGCCTCAAGCCGGGGTCGAGCGCTCGGCGGTTGCTTCACAGTAGGCGCGGGGAGACCCGCGTTACCACAGCCTCCTTCACACGCTGACCTTCCGGGCGTCGATTCCCGTTAAGCACCACACTTCCGTTTTACGGCTGTGTACACCCCGGAAATCGGGGGCACCTGACGGCAGACTTCCGGTGGTGGGAAAGTGAACGAAGTCGGAATCCAAGCAGCGCGATCTGAGGCTGAGATACCTGCGGAAAGAAGGAAGGCAAGCTTCTGCAATAGGGCTTGACTCTAACGCCGGCGAACCAGCAATTACAGAAGCAGGCTGCGGCAGAGAGGGAATGGTGCGGGGAGGCGCTGAGAAGGAGGCGCAGTCCGTCCCTCTCAGGGTTAGTGAATGAGGTCTCCTCCCGGGCCGGCCCGGGGACTGTGCGCTGTGGGTCCCAAGCATGAGTGCGGGCCCCGGCTGTGAGCCCTGCACCAAGCGACCCCGCTGGGGCGCCGCTACAACTTCTCCACCGGCTGCCTTGGATTCCCGGAGCTTCCCCGGCAGGCAAAGGCGCGTCCTCGACCCCAAGGACGCTCCTGTACAGTTCAGGGTCCCACCGTCCTCTCCAGGCTGCGTCCCTGGGCGGGCGGGACCTCACAGAGGCGGCGCCACCTCGCTTGGTACGTGGGGAAATAAAAATCTTTTGTCCTTCGCCTCGGTCCAAACCTTCTCTGTTTTGAGTCCGAGGACCCGGGGTTCCTGTCACTCTAACCTGGTTTTATATGCATCACTCCGAGCTTCGCTTGCTCAACTACCAATGCCACCAGTGGAGGAGGCGGGGGCCGCATTTTTCCCGGATCCGCTTGATGTTGTGAGAAATCTTGATGGACAGTTACAGGGCGGAAAATGGCCGGAGACCCCGTTTTCTTTTCTCAGATTTGATGGAGAAATTGCCTTTATTGGCATCTAGTTGTGTAGCAGTAGGACGCTTCAGCCTGTAGATGGGGGAAAAAAAAAAAAAAGCTGTTGCAACTTCCCTCCTTCGGATTCTGGAACCCAGGATCCAGATTTTTTAGTCTCAGTTACTTTTTTTTCCCTAGTTGATCCTGTGGCTCAGCTTTATTTATGTACTTATATATTCATAATTAACTTTCCAATTTCCTTAGCAAGTCCAAATTGAGTTGCTCTCATTTGCTACCAAAAATGTATTAAACAATGCAGAATTTTAATTGGCGACAGAGTATCTTGTTGGAATGTATGGGTTTAGAAAGGCAAGTATAATTCAAAAGTTAATAACACAACAAATATATAGAAAATAAGTCAATTACACACTTTGATATGGCCCTGATAGTTATATTTATTTTAAACAGCAACTAATTCTGTAAATGCAAAAAGCTGAATATTTATTTTGTAAAGTTAATTTTCTGTTTTTTTTGCTTCTCTTCAAGGAGAGGAAAAAACTCAAGAATAAACAGCTTAATTTTATAGTTGTTTCTATGGCATTATGATTCACTAGCTAAATGAATTATTACTGGCTTTAACTTGTTTTTTCACTAGGTCCTTATATGCAGCCACATCTTTTCAGATGTCTGTAATTGCTAAAAAAAAAAAAAAGCTTATAATGTAAAAATGTAATTTTTACTCAATAGTTTAAAATCCTTGAATAAGAATTTAGCATCTACTGAATTTTTTTTTAAATTTCAGTTACTTTTTTTTAAAATATTTTTTTAGTTGTTGATGGACACAGTATCTTCATTTTATTTATTTATTTTTATGTGATGCTGAGGATCAACCTCGTGCCTAACATCATGCTAGGCAAGCTCTCTACCACTGAGCTATAACCCCAGTCCCTAGTCTTAGCTACTGTTGTGCTTGTCTCTGGCATAGTGTTGAACACAAGGAACTTGTTCTCTGCTTTCATACCCTAAAATCTGTCAGGAGAGATAGACAATAGACAAGATAATACATATAACAAAAGGTAGTGAATGTTTTAATATGTGAGGGACAGATTGTTTTGGTAGAAGGCAGGTGTACTTAACCTAGTTTATGGGCTCAAAAACAATCCTCCGGAAGACACTATGCTTACTTTGAGGACTAACAATTGTATACAGTTTCCTAGATGAAGAGGTAATAAGGAGGTGTTTCAGGAGTGCAACTAGTGTGGAGAGTTAATGGGAGAGTAGTGAGAGAAGGGGTGCAGCAAGTTGGAGAAAATCAGATCATACTTTACTGGGATGTAGTAAACACTACTAAAGATTTTGAAGTTTAATGACAATGAGGAGCTATTACAGAATTTTCACTGGGGCGAGGTACTTTGATTAGAATTGTTTGTTGAACGGTCCCTATAGTTGATGTGGAAAACAAAAAATGGTCGGAAACACAAGTGGAGGCCCAGAGAGTTAAGGTGTTCTAGGGGGAGATATTTTAGCCTTACACTTGGATATGGGCGGCAAAGAAGGAGAAGTAGATGAATTCAGGAGAGAATGGGATACTTATATTCCTCAGAAGTAGTACATGTGTGGTGGAGAAATTGAGAGTTCTTGGAATAAAGAGGGCTATGGAAGCTTATGTGAATAGTTTAGATATCATTTAAATATATAGAAAATATAAAGGTGAATAAGGACAGAACACTTAGGAACACCAACATTTTAAGGGAAGACTGAAAAACAAAATGGTCACAGAAGTAGGAGGAAAACCAAGCTTGTGTAGTGTCATGCAAAGAAGAGAGTGTTTCAAAAAGAATGCAGTAGTCAACAGTTTTAAGAGGCTGGGCAAAGGTCAGACAGTTTTCTGTATACTTGGGTGTCTTAGGACTTGGAGGCAATGGGGAGCAGATTTAAGTCTTGAAGGATGAGCAGGATTATATAAATGAAGGGGAGAGAAAATATGTAGGCAAAGGAAACAGCACACACTAAAGGATAACAGCATTGTCAGGTGAGATTGTTGAGTACTCAAACTTGAGTACCATGTTAAGGAATTTAAACTTGATTCTGTGGTTAATGGGAGTCTGTGAATAAGCTTTTAAGCAGAGAAATGACATTTTGTTAATATTTTAGAAAAGGTGATATAAACAATGGCTTTTGGACTTTTTTTTACTACAACCCACACAGTATAAAATTATTTGGCACACGGTAATATACATATAACCTGGTACTTTTGCTGTATTTATAACTGAAAACAAATTTTTCATAAAATAATACCCTCACTATTTATGATGCATTCTTGTATTTCATTAAAATATGCTACTATTTTGTAGTTTATAAAACACTGGATTAGAGAAAGTCAAGACTGCAAATAGGGAGACAAGTTGTTGGAGACACATAACAGTCACCTGATGAGTAATATATTTAAGGAATATAAGGAAGGGTTGCACTTAAAATTCAGCATGTAGATTTCAGAGAACTTGGTATGGAGGAGGGAGAACTGATGATGAACAACAGGTAATATATTTGACTTGTGTGACTGGGTAATTTGTGGTCCTGTCAACTTTATTTGCATGGTAAAGAGGAGTTATTTGTTAGTAGGAGTTAGGGCAGTCATTCATATATGCATTTTTTTAATTTGTTTTTTTGTACTAGGGATTGAACTCAGGGGCACTTGACCACTGAGCCACATCCCCAGCCCTTTGTTATATTTTATTTAGAAACAGGGTCTCACCGAGTTGCTTAGTGCGTCTCTAGTTGTTGAGGCTGACTTTGATCCTCCAGGGCAGTCATTTTTTATTATTTGGATCTTGAGTTTTTATAGAAGAAGAATCATATTAATTCTTCACATGTGTGATGTTTTCTATATACAGAACACCAATTAACAGATTGTTGAAATTCTAAGTTTATTTCATTTGGATTTTAGGGTTCTTTTAGGAAGTTGGTACATAGTTATTTATACTAGAAGGAGTAAGTGGAGTAGAAAAATTAATATTTAGTATTATTTTTCTTCCTGCATATGTCTTATATTGATTGAAATCAGATAATCTGTATTTAGGCAGAGAAGTTAGCTTGCTGTTCACATTCTGGGGGGTGATTTATGTACTTGCATTGCTATGGGAAACTTTGTGGAAGTGGGGTGTTCCTTTGAAATGCAGCTGAATTTTAGTGCATTTTGTACCTTTTGCTTCTATCTATAGGTGCTTATTGAATAATGTCATTGAAATACACTTGTTACTGATTGATGTTACTGATGAGAGTAAATGTGAATGGTGCAAATTCATAATAAAGTTGGAGAACTAGTGATCTCAGTAAAAAAAAGATTGAATAGAAGTGTTAAGAATAAATATATTTCTTGCGTATCTGTGTTGTGAGGCTGGACATTTAATATTTTCTCTCATTTTTGTAATCTTAATGATTCACATGACCCTTGGAAGTAGTTGTTGTTAATTCAATTTGAAGCTGAAAAAAACTTGGCATAGGTGATGCTAGTGACTGAACAAAGGTCTCAGTCCAGGATTGATTTTACATTATGTACCTTTTCCTTATTTATTTTTGTTGCTGTGATTGTTTCTAGTTAAATGAAAGAAATTTCCCAGAATTTGGGGAATCATCATTTTATGTTTACTTCAGAAGTAAGAGAGAGAGAGCTCTGAAACAGTCTTGTGATATGTTGGAAAAGAAACCTCTGGAAGCCAAAAGTAGTGGTATTGGAAAGAGAAGTAGGGAAGCCCTTTCTCTGGATACCAAACAAGGACTGAGGAATGTTAACAAGAAATATTGATTCCTCATCTCTTGCCTTTCCTTCTTCATCCTTTTCTCAGACTTCAGGAATCATAATCAGAAGCCCTAGCTAGAGAGAGAACACATTCTCCTTGTTAGGGCTACAGGAGAGAGCCCTAGCTCTCTTTCTCAACTTCATTGGTATACAACTCATGGTTTTTCATGAAATAAAGTTTGCAGTCTTTAGGTTCTATGGAATTATCAGTACAGTGCTGAGCTCCATGTGTAGTGGAGGAGCCTAGCCAATGAGTCCTTATATTTAACTGTAACATTTATGGAAAAAAAGTGTTTTAAAATCCTAACCTGACTCAAAAATGAATGCTTTGTACATTGCTGGTTTGCAATTTGAGGATTTTCTGAACTGTACTTGCTGTGTTTGGTACAGGTTGAGTGTCCCTTATCTGAAATGC